CCTCCCCCCCCCTGTGTGACGTCATACGAGAATAAATATGTAGAGCTTTAATTTGTTCAAACAGACACCTCTCAAAATAGATAGTTCCATGGTTTTCTGAGCAGACACAGAACTACCACTTACTTACATCAAATAGAAAGCACGAAAACAAACCTCAACTTCATCGACTGCTTTTTGAAGCCATTTCAACATGGCCTCTTCAACAGATTGTATCCAAAGACAATAGTCCGTTATGAATAGATCGTTGAAAAGGTAACGAAATTCTCCGGAACCAATGAGAATTCCATGCATCTTACTCAGCACATGCAACAGTGCAGCTCTACCTACAAATCATCGAGTTTGTGGGGAATACGCACACAATTACATAATTAATAACTGCTTATAGAAATCAGAACAAGGTAAGGTCCTTCGTAATATGTAGATGGCTTTTCCCTGATCGGAGAAATGGCTCAGCGATCAACCATTCTACTTTTTTGAAATCATACTTCTTATCAAAGACCGATTACTATCTTGGAAATCATGATGAATTTGCACGCAGACACACTACCAAGTCGGTAGAAATCTAGAAGCTAAACCATGCTTCGAAGCAATATGGACATATTACTTATATGGCCCGCACTCGCTTCCTGTGAGAACCCCAACAACAACGCTGACGCTTCCGTCTTTCTCGGTTACCATCCATGGTTGACTTGAACGCGATTAAGGCGGCGATCGGTTACATTCGCAGCTGTCTTAGGTGGCAGATGAGCGCACCTCCTTCTCTACCTACCTCCCCCTCCCCTCTCGCAGCAAGTCGCCTTTGACCGTAAAAACTCCATGGAAGCCCACGCCATCGTTTTCTTTGCCCATACGTCATCAGATCTTTTCATGATATGATCGACCCATCATAATTTGTGGTTTCACACGTACTCCTCAAGATTGCCAAGACGGGACATTCTGCGTAAGTGGGGAATCTAGAGGCGCAGTATGGGATTAGACACGCTCTCTTGTTCTATTCCTGATCGTGGGCAGACCGACGGACAGGCGTATGTGTACCACCTTTACGCGTAATAACTTCGCGACAAGGCCGGCAGAACTTCGCTCGACCAGCAACCCACTGTCGCGCTTCTTTATTCATGACGTGAACGGTCATTGGATTTACTTCTGGAGAGCTTAATAGTGGAGGAAGTACTCGGCAGTCGAAAGAAGGCAAAATATCAAAGGAATAAAATAAAACATCAAACATCATAATATATAAAATAAAGAAGGAAAAAAGAATATCAAAATAAAAAAAGAAGAAAAGATTCAAAATAAAAAGAATCTCGCAGGAATTAACTATCTGCGCCAGAATTCTATGACCGCATCGATCACTGGCATGGAGATAACAACTGGTATCGGAACAACTGGAGCAGGCCCTTCGTGAGAGCCCTTCAAACACGCCCTTCTTCATCTCAAGGTAGGAGGCGGCTGAAGCGAAGACGGCCCCCCCGCCTAGTTCGGAACGTGATCAAGGGGGGAAGGGGGGGGGCGTTCTTTTGCTTTCTTTTTCTTTTTCGGACCACTCTAAACCGAGAGCTCCATGAATAAACGCTCCCACACATATATTCCGACGCTTGCCTTGAGTCCCGACTCGACATTGACGGAACTGAGGCAATACCTCAGAAGACATCGCCCAGCGATGTGTGAGTAAAATTTAAGCCCCTGAAATTGGATTGTGATATCCACCCATGTTCAACAGCTGCGCAGCACCAGCGAGGAGAATTGTAGAGAATGAAACCGATTCAAGAGAAAAGCCAGATGGTAGGTTATTTCTCTCAAAAGGCCGTCTACGCTGCTTTTTCCTATTCCCAGCTCTTCCTTCGTTTCTTTCTTAGTGCACTTAGAATGAATACGAACGAGACGAACGTAATATGAGATTTCCTTCATGGGCGTACCGTCCATTTTGATTTGACTTTCATCGTACTAACGATAAGCATTCTTTGTTAAACTGCTCTGTTTGGTCACCAAGTTCACCAAGGATCCTCTTAGCTTCCATAATACTACTTGGGAAGCAAACGATGCCATCGCGGAATGCAGAAAAGATCCCTAAGCTTTTAAAAATGACAATGAACGTAGAACAAAACTAGGTATTTGAATTGCCGGCATAAAAACAGTTGCAAAGGGCAAATAAAAAACGATTGTTCATTCACCTTTCCTTATGATAAGTTTAGTATCCGACACAACTTTCAGCGATAAGTCCCAATTTCTGTACAAGGGATAGCAGAGCGATCTTCGTACACTACCAACAAATGCCTGCAAAACAAATAATAAAAGAATTGGATAAAAAGAACGGTGACCGGGGAATCGAAGAAATGATGACCAAAAGCTGGAGCAATTGTATCTTCTGAAGAAGATTACCCTATCGCTGAGCTGCATAAAATATTCCACCAAAAAAATCGTAAACACACAGAAAACATGGAACTGCAATTCAGTTTTTGTGCTTTTTTCATGCCTTGGTTCCAACAAAAGAATGAAGGGCAAACAGTAAACAAATGACGATTTTGGAAATTTCAATGCCCATGTCCACCTCTGATAAAAAGAAAACCTCACCTCCTTGGCATTTCTCCACTGGCAGAGAAACGCTAGACTTGGAGCCAGTTTAGTGATGTTCCACCCGGTTTCACAGCAAGTCTCCCATTCATTTATTCTTGAGTCGTACGCAAATGCAAAAACAATATCTACCAAAGAAAGCAAGACCGTTCTCTGTTCTTCCATGGATAGCCTGAACAACAACTTTTCACGATTTATGAAAAATAAGACATTTCTTGAGCTCTGTGAGGAATTTGATTGTCATTTTTCTTGGAGGAGAGAAGCCAATTATAAAGGAGCTATGGGCTAAAAGTTACTTTTTCGAGTTTAACTCTCAAAAGAAAGAAAAAGTCAGAATGTGGACAAATCGCAACTAACGAGCTCTCGCGAACGAATTAGCTCTGAGCTTGAAAATACATCGCACTTAACACATGAGTGGTGATGACAAGAGAAAACACGAATATCAAGAACGGTGAAATTTTTCTTAAATATCGTAGATAAGCTCGGAGTAGAGTTCATACCACGATACTTGGTCAGAGTCCACAACACTCCTACAGAAAACCTTCAGGTAAGATGAGCTGGGTGAGAATGGAGGAAGAACTTAAAAAGCTCAGCTTCAGACTTTCGAGCAAATGCGTATGTAGGGGCCTCCAGGAATGTTGATGAGTTTTCGACATTCAAGGTAGTTTGCTAGCCTCTTCAGAGTATCATTCCGCACAACATTATGAGCCAGATTAGAATAAATACAACATTTACTACTTTGTGTACTCTATGAGACTACGTTACACGTTGGTAGACGTTTTCTTGGAAAATCTTTAAGACGCTGCCTGTCGTCCGCGTCAACCTCAAGTTTTAGGCCAAAGTCTAGCTTCAGCGCCCGTTGAAGGGCATCCTCAGGATCCAGCATATCTAACCTAGTCAGCAAAAACATTTCAGACTGATTGAAGAAGAAGCTGAAATGAATGTCATTATAGGAAACTCACAGGTAACGTTCAGCATCGAATGCTTTAATATCGTGTTCTGCACATTGTGCGCTCCTTTCGTGATAACAGATTTTCTGATCGCCTCTCAGCTAACCAGTGCCCCCACCGCATCTCCTGCTGAGCTGCCCTTGAATAATAACTTGCTCGGGGAAACCCCAAAAGTGAAATCCCAGTAGTTGTCACGTCTTTCGATGAATGCCAATGCACCCCAGTGCAGAAAAAAATCATGTGAAAAACATGGCAATGCCTGAACTGCCATCCATTATTAGCTAATATACCACGTATAGGAATTGCAAATCAAAGGAGGGAATCAACTCTACTGCTACAATTTTTCAAGAAAAATGAAAAAAAAAAACTTATGATCACGGTTGGATCACTTGCATGAAAAATTTGCGAACTATAGCTGTAGCAGTCAACTTTGCATTTATTCACACTCCGATTGTCTTAGACGCGCACTTTGAGCGCAATATTAAATAAAAATAAATAAGATAAAATAAACAATAGAGGACTTATTTTTTCTATAACCCCCGTACTGAATGCGCTACAAAAATCACATGTTTGGAAATAAAGCAGCCAAGTCTAGAAGGCCTCGAACATACCAAGTATTCCCTTACGACGCCACGCAAATCCATAGCCAAATACGTCAGTCGAGTTCTCACTACACTGTGCTTGAATATCTGTGACTTTTTTGCTCCACAAAATATTCGCTGCCTTCAGCTTCATCTTAAACAAATTTTCTGGAAGGTGAATAGTAGACGCCAAAGCAAAAACAGTTTGACAATCTGATTCACTACAATTTGAAGAAACGCACCTTCCTCGTCATCATCAGAATCACGTATTTCTTCAACCAACCGCTGAGCACTTATTTTCTTCTGTTCAAAAGTCCAGGTGCATATCATCCAGACAGCGAAAGTTTTCGACTTACATTTTTACTTTTTTCAGAACGCCGAAACAGTGACACTTCTCTGAATCAACCAGCGGTAAAGAAATGCGAGCCAGATATTCTAACAATGGTAAAGGATAAAGAACATAATGACTCCTTTTGGGGTGCGCCATGCATTCTATCTTCGTTCAGAGCCCTGAAGGCATCTGAATGAAATATACCCTATGAGCAAATGACTAACGATTTCTAAATCGATTTCCTAATACAAACTGGCGTTGCTTGGAGGGATTGACTAGTAATTTGCAAAATGGCTCCCCAAATGCCTTTAATCTATGGGGACTATTTCGCTGTTAAAATGACATTTGAGGGTAGGTCGCTCATAAACGACCTTCCAGGCTATCGGGGGCGAAGAAGATGGAACTTCGGCTCAATTAAATCTTGTGAAGTCTTTACCGTGATTTCGAAAACAGACTCATGAAGGAACATGCTCAAGTACCAGTTCAGTAATGTATCCGAAAGATGGAATATTTTCAAAAAGCAAAAAGGTCGGAACGGATGCAAAGTGGTTCGGCGAGATTCAGAACGTGAGGATCGGAAAGCCTAGAGGAATGGTGTGATCAAAGTTAAAAAGGAGCAGCGCGCTGGCAATATTAATTGGAAGGTTTGTACGTAACGGAATGTGATAAATCTTTTCATGTATGAATTGCAGGAGCTACGCCGAGAAGTGCTATTCAATAATTTTCGGTAGAGGTCGTGGATCATGATTAACCAAGAAGGTTAGGAGTTAGCATTACGGCGTGATTATTAGCATAAACCGTACTATAAAGAGCGGTCATTCTAGGAGCTCTCGAACAATTACGATTCACCAAAGCTTCACATCCCTTCCTTAACGTTGAGATTAGTTAGCTCCTGATCGAAAGGAAAGGAAAAATGAGGAATTCTGCTCGAAAGTCATCCTGTGTCTGGATTCGGTTCCCGTTTCAGCGCAATGAGCTCCAAAGTCCCAGTTATCAACTGTAGCTAAGCCACTTCGCAGAAATCCAACTCACCTAGAGTCGAGTCATATTTGGCCGTTCCAGTGTTATCGTCGACAACTTCTCTTGGCAAATGAACCCTAGAATACAAAACAGAGTAATTAACCAGGTGGACAGCTAATCTTCTATTTCTCACCTGAGATAATAAGGCGGCGCAGAAAACATGAAAATATCATCACCATACTCGATCTCGGTGTCAGCTATTTTTGCGTACGGTGCACGAATAATAAACGTCAACCATTTGTCATTCTGTACAATACTGAACGTTGGTGTTATCATACTGCAACAAAAGCTTGAAAGATCACCAAATAAGTGGCAAACTAATAGATGTAACAAATCGGTGGTATAAACCACTACTAACATATCCTTCAAATATAACGAGAAGCAGAAATACTTCATTAACATAGTAAACAATGAACAAGCGAGAACCATCTGTCGTAATCTCGAGCAGACTATTGAGTCTTTGACAATGAGACGATGACATCCTGCCAATGCTGACGTTCAGACTCTATGTAGCTGCTACTTATACCCAATGAGTATGATTCTTCTGAGAGCTGCAGAACAAACGTTGTTGAAACGTCTACGATTCAACTAACTTCGAAAAAAATTTCATCAAAAACAGGCTTACCTTCAACTGGTGCCTAACAAATTCAATGACATACATCCCGCAGTCGAAACTGTTACGTTGCTGAGGGCATTCGACAATTTCAAAGGACACTTCAGGAGCACCAAGAACCGGTTTGATTGTATTTACAAGCTGTAATTATGGAACATAAAGATAAGGATAAAGGATAAAGCATTTGCCGTTGATCAATCCCTTTTTGGGATGCGGCACGCATTCTACTTCCATTTGTACATTCGCAGTGGCATTTGAATGCGATGTGGCCTATACAATGACTTGCGGGGGCCAGCCGATGTTCAAGTCAGTGTTTTTATCCTCCCAGACAAGTCTGGTACCAATTAACCGACCCCGGAGGGATGGAAGGCTTGGTTGGCCCGGGCGACTCACGACCCAGGATTTGATCCCGGACCGCTCGCGTGGTGAGCGCGCCACTTGTCACTGCACCACTTCCGCCTAAGGAACATAAATAAAAATTCCCATAGTTCTGACCAGCCAATACCTGTCTGGCGACAGCATCTTTAGCCGGCCGCATACTGTCGTAATACTCGAATCGCGCACTTCTTCGATCGAAAACAAGCAACGACCAGTGATTACCACCAACAATAGTCTTGATCGCTCCCGCACATTAATATAAGAGACCTAACACCAACGCAGAATTCACCTTTATGTAAAACTGTCTTAAAAATTTTTGAAGATTAACCGGAATAAGTTGTGAACCCGACAAAAGCAATGTTTAGTAATTTTAAAACCAACAACCATTCTGCAAAACAGTGAGCTGCGAAGAAATCAAATAATATGCGATTTGGGATAAATTTTAAAAAAAAAACTGTTTTGCTGTTCCGTCGACAAATCCCTTTCGACATAGTTTTAAGTGTGCGAAACCAAGCTGGTAATGAGATCAGATGAATTACTCACCTTTTCCTTTGAAGAAACCCAGCGAAAAGAAAATATCCCGAACGATTTCCATATCACCAGAATACCTTATCAACTCACAGGATGCTGCGCTTACTATAGCCACCTAGACAGATAAGATTTTACAGTCTTCCGGAAATCTCAGAAAATATCACCAGCAACCCACCTGCTCTCTAACTTCTGGTGCAGCTTTCGACAACATGTATTCACACGCGAATGAAATAATATTGTCATTCAGCCACGTTCCAGGATTTAATGTGTACAAATCGGACGTATACAAAACAACATCACCATACGACAAAACCTTGCTGTCCTTCTCATCTTCCGCAGACCCACGGAATAAGCTGGAGCACATCTAGGGCGTTGAAAAAGTTCCGCCTTAGTGTTCTGTAAAGTCATAAGCCGTATACACAGACTGTGATACCCCTGCATAGGGAACGTCCATTTACCAATATCAGCTATTAAGGATATACTTTAAACATATGATTTATCTTTGTATAGGTCTGAATCAGAATGGTGGCGAAACAATAACTTCAGAAAGAACAACTCTCTTAGACATAGCAATTTCAGCAACCTGAAGCATAGCAATTGAATCTGTTATACAAATGGAATACCTAAAACAAATATCGATCAAATAAAATCGAGTATTGAGAATCAACTTCTTATGCAACATGAGCTACAGCAAAGCAGCGATGTTCACTGCGATAAACAGATGGAAACTCAAGAGGGCTAATGTCAGCAATGAGCACTGCAAGTGCTCACAAAGTGAGTAAAATCATTAGAAAAAGAGATCCAATAGGAAACATGAACAAGTACGAAATTCGAATTTAAACACCTGAGAAAAGATGACACATTCAAGGCCTAAAAATGGATAGCTCGAGGAGCTGGAAACTCCTCTACGGCTGAGGTGTATGATAAAACTTCAAAGTTCCGTTCGTAATGGGAAATCGAAACGCGAAACTTCGCTGTTCAAGAACTTGCTGCACATCAACACTAACCAAATCTGACAACTATCTTTGAGAGACGATCCACTGTTTCCCATGACTATCAGCTTCTGTATAAGAAATATCGATAATCCATGGCTTATCAGTAGATCCATACCTAGGACGAAGGGTTTACAAGATAGAAATCAGCAGGGCTTTCGTGTAGTTTGGAGGAGGCTACTTGGATACATAGTTTGTGCCGGCAACAGTGATATAAGTTTCTGCAGAGGCAGGAAGCTCAAAGAAGGGTGAAAAACCTACATGCACAATAGGGAATAGGTGGGTATTACTTTTCCAAACTTTCATAATTAGGTTGACGCAACATAAATGTCGCTTAGACCCAGCCAGTATGGCCATTCTAGTGCCATCCAAGTACAAATGCCTGGGGCTGGTGGAAGAGGGACATTCGAAAGTCATTATTAAGATTAGCGTTATTAAACGGATTCACTCTTTCATAAAGGTGCAAACCGCAGAAGGTGAGAGTGAGAAAATGAAAACGCTATAATGAAAGGAAATGTTTTCAAGCGCTCTTTGACTCTCTGTACCAGAACAGAGAGTCAAAAGAGAGTTCCCCCCCCCCCCCACCCAAAAAA